AACAGAATTCATTAGATAGGAATAATCCAAATAGAAATTTAGAAGCTACATTTACATTGGCTTCAGGATGACTGTGCATAGAAAGAGAGCCTCTAAATTTTCTCTGCTGGAGCAAGATAAATATGCACAGCAGATGATCAAGGTTGTCAGATACTGAAATTTCTGTTTTTCTATTTACAAAGACATTCTATCTACACCATGTAATATTTTTCATGAGTGGCATAATTTCCAAAATAATGAACCACTTCTTACAGACAGAAAATTAAAGCATGCAAAAATTTAAAAACAAACCCACAGTAATTTTTTAAAGCACAAGATCAACGAAATTATTTTTAATATATTCCATATTTTCCACACATTTATGACTTAACCCTGTAGGGAGAAATCAAATTTCAAAGTGCACCTAATCATTCCTTTGATATTCAATTATGTTTGTTTACTTCAACTCCTTGTGACTGTTGCCACATATCCCCACATGTAATAAAAGAAGAAACCTCCAACTATTATTCCTTTGTTTAGACTAATGTCACTTAAATCTCCCAAATACAGCACATGAATTCAAAGTGAAATAACTGCCTCTGTGCTTCTGGAATGTTTCAGAAGGGAAATCTAATTCTAGCACAATGTGGACCATGTAATATATAGAAATACTAATGCCAGAGAAATATTGTTTATCTGAAATTCAAATTTTTACTGAAAATTCCAATGTAAAACAGTGTACAATATGTTAAAATCAGTTTTTTTCAGGAATTCTTTTCTCCTTTTCAAATATTATGATGTCTTCTAGCCAATGGTCAATTATTTTTGCCTCCCTCCCTCCCTCCCTTCCTTCCTCCCTTCTTTCCTTTTTCCCTTCCTTTCCTCCCCTTCCTTTCCTTTCTTTTCCCTTCTTTCCTTTTTGTCATTTTTTTTTGGGGGGGGGAAACTATGGTTTGAACCCAGCCTTGAATTCTTGCTTAAGAGTTTCTTGCTCAAGCCTGGTGTTCTACCACTTGAGTAACACCTCTAATACCAGCTTCTTTGCTGGTTAAATGACGATAAGAATCTTTACATTTTTGTCTGTCTAGGCTAGCTGATTTACTTTAATTCTCACAATTTAGCCTCTTGAGTAGCTAAGGTTACATACAAGTATGATCTAACAGCACCTGGTGTTTTCAGATGAATCATCATAATTAGGATTCATGTTTTTATTACACAAAATTACCTGATCTAATAAGTTGGATCCTACTCTTAACTTCTTTTTATGAATTAGGTTGTTACTGTCTTTACCTTTATACCACAGAGGAGTGGTACAGATAACTCTTTTTCCTAAATAAATTCTGCTAATATTCATATATGAATGCATGCATACATACCTACATAAAAAAGGACATTCAAAGGTTAACTACTACGGATTCCTACTCAAATTCTGTATTTAATAGCCAGCATATGTTCTCATTGTTACTCTATATTCCCTTTTTCTCTCTTCTCTCTTAAACACATGCACACTCAAACACACATATACATGCACACATGTGTATACACATACTATTTGTCTCACCACACATCTGAGCTTGATCCATTTCCAACCAAGCTATTCATTGAAGCCATAAAGCAAAAGTCACTGTGTATTATTTGAAGATATGATATGACTTGTGTGATTTATTATTGGGTGATGCATTGGCAAAATGACTTAACATATTTATATCAATATTTGCAGATAAATAACTTCACAAAAGTTTTTAAAAATTATTTTTTCTTTCTTTTTTAAATATATATATTTTATTGTAAAGATACTGTACAGAGGGGTTATATTTACATGAGCAAGGTAATGAGTACATTTCCTATGGAGCATTATAACATCCTTCTTTATTTTTTTTCCTACCATCCCTTTCCTCCCTCCCCATATCCCCCTGCAAAGTTGTAAAGTTCATTTTCCACATAGTGTCTTGTACATCTCATTGTTACAATGGATCATCTTATATCCTTATTTCAGTATTTTGTTTTTTCCCTTCCCCTCCCCAAATTAGAAAAATGTATATACAAGATGCAGGACACCGGAATCAAATATAGTGACAACAGGGGTAGTACCATGGGGGAAGAACATACAGAGAAACAAAAAAAATTCACATGGTACATTATAAGTACATTAAAAAGACCAAAGAACAGCAACAATGATAAAAAATCTCTTGTGTCCCTATCTTGGAGTTCATTTTGTTTAGCATCAGGTTATATGGACATATGTACATAGCTTTTGACCTCTTCTGCATATACTAGTTATTGCAGATAAGGGAAACCACAAGACCTATGTTTCTTTGAGTCTTCTTACTTCACTTAATATAATTTTTCCAAGTCTTTCCATTTCCTAATTAATGGGGTGGTGTCATTCTTTCTGATAGAGGCATAGAATTCATATATATAAGAATGTATATATATATATATATATATGAATGTGTGTATATATAGGCCACATATACATATAGGCCACATTTTCTTGATCCATTCATCTACTGAGGAGCATCTGGTTGGTTCCACATCTAAGCTATGGTACATTATGCTATGATAAACATAGTTGTGATGGTAGCTTTAGTATGACCTTGTTTGTGATTTTTTGGGTAAATGCCTAAAAATGGGATTGCTGGGTCAAAGGGGAGCTCTATATGTGTCTTTTGAGGAACCTTCATACTGCTTTCCAAAGTGGTTGAACAAATTTACATTCCCACCAACAACACAGTAGGGTTCCCTTTTGGCCACATCTCCTCCAGTATCTGTTGTTACTAGATTTCTTGATTATAGCCATTCTAACTGGGATGAGGTGGAATTTCAGTGTTGTCTTGATTTTCATTTCTTTTATGGCTAGAGAAGTTGAGCATTTCTTCATGTGTCTATTGGCCATTCTCATTTCCTCTTCAGAGAAGTTTCTCTTTAAGTCTTTAGCCCACTTATTAACCCAAAGCTTTTTATCAAAATACCTATAGACTATTTTTTGATTTGCAATTATAATGATTTTAGCCCATGAAACAAATCCAGGTATTATTCTGAAATAGTGAGTGAATTTGATAAAAAGAAGGTTGGACTTGAGTTTCACAAATAACAAATGAATTATATCCTCGAACTGCCCAGTGTCATTAATAAGGATTATTTTCATAAAAGTAAATGTTCTTTATTTTTTTAATATATTTCAGTAATTGTTTATTTTTCTTGACTTTTGTCTTTTTCCAAAATGTCAATATTGAAAGCAAAGAATATGAAGAGTAAATTAATGTTTAGCTTAGGTTTAAGAAGCAAGATTTATTCTATCTAAGCTAGGTGTCTGGTTCAAACCTGTATACTCATCTGTTCAGGAAACTAAGGTAGGAGCATCATGGTCTGTAGAAAACCCAGGCAAAAGTGTGAGACCCTACCTGAAAAATAAACTAAAACCAAAAAAAGCCTGGAGACTTGGCTCAAGTGGTATAGTGTTTGCCTAACAAGTACAAGACCTAGAGTTCAAACCTCAGTACAGCTAGGTTGGTAGATGGGTAGGTAGATGGGTAGGTAGACAGACAGGCAGATAGATAGATAATAAATTTATACATATATAGATGGTAGATAAATGATGCTGATGGGTGAAGGATGATAGTGATGATGATGATGATGATGATGGTGGTGGTGGTGGTGGTGGTGCTGTAATAGATCCATGATAGATGATAAATTTTTTTCTATCTCAGCATTTTATCTAAGTTCTAAAATTGAGAACTAAGAAGCAGCAGGTTGTTCTGGGAAATACATATTCTGAAGTGGATTGAGCCTTGCTGAAACATACTGTTTTAGTCTACTAGAAGACTGAGTTACATCTGCATTAAATATGATACCATCAAATTCCAACAGTCACAGTGAATGCAAAAATTTAAAGATCAGCTAGCTGGTCATTATTCTAATTCCAGCGAACATTTGGTCACTTGAAATTTCACACTAAAAAGGTTAAAAAATGTATACATATGCAGATGTAAATACCTACACAGTCAATGAAAGGCATGCAATTTAAATTATCATCTACAAAATATTAAGGATTATTTAATATATTGCATTTTATTTGATATGACTACATAATTAGTTGTTTCACTCCATATGGGTTTAGAAACAAAAACCATTTTGCCAAAGAAACATGCTTATATCATAACTACAAATAGATACATCACTTTTTTTAGATATAGCTTTTGATAGTAAACATTTTCTTAAGACATAACATCCTTAAATTTGTATGTATCTAATAACATAAATTCCTAAATCATAAATATATACACTAAAAATACAAAAGGAAATAAGCAAATCATAATCATAGTAACAACTTTAACAAAATATTTTTATAAATGTTAGAACAGGAAAAATGAATGTAGATTTTAAAAACACAATTAACAAGTTTTGCACTACATTCTAAATTTAACAGTCACACAATAAACTTTCAAACTAACGCTGAACATGTTTAAAATAACTGTTGTTATAAAATAATTCAAATAACTAAAATTACACAGAGTCTGTTCTGTGACCACAGTGGAACTAACTAGAAATCAATTACAAAAAGAAAACTGAAAACTTAACTTTGGAAATTAAAAAAAAGTCAAGTAAAACTGATGGAAACAATACATAGCAAATCTAAACATGAAGAATAGATAAGGAAAGAAGGGAAGGAGAGAGGGAAGGAAAAAGTAATTTAAGTAAACAACTCATTAGTAATTAACAAACTCAGCAATTACTCACCAATGGAAGGATAAAATAATAGCAGCAGAAATTAATGAAATATAAAAACACAAATGTGCTTACATAACACACAATTCAGCAGAGTGCTATTATCTGTTGAAGAAGGAAGAGGAAATTATTCTGTTCAGGCTGCTACTTCAAAACATCAATACTACGTAACTCATAAAGAACAAAAATGTATCTTGTTTGTACTTAATATATATATTATTGTAAATATACTGTACAGAGGGATTACAGTTACATGAGCAAGGTAATGAGTCCATTTCCTATTGAGCATTGTTACCCCCTCCTTTATTTTTTTCCCCAGGTAAAACAAAAATGAATCTTCTCCTACTTCTGAAGGCTGTGAAGTTCTCGAGTCATGGTGCTGTTGGGTTTGGTCCTGTGATGAGGCCTGCCTTGTCCTCCCATAGGCACGTGCTATACCCTCTGGAGAAGAGGAATGTGTTTATTCTTCTATAGTAGAAGGAAGAAAGGCAGGGCTATTTCTTCAGAGAGGTGTTCTGCGTAATGTTCAACTCCTTAAATGGCAGTACATGGGATTATAACTTAACTGTTAATATTTTAACTGTGCATTTCTGCTGTCTGATATAACTCATAATTCATAAGGGGGAAATTTATTAGCAAACTTGAGTTTCCTTCCTGTAAGAGAGATAGGGTTTCTATTTCTAATTCCCTAACTTCTGCTTTCAGGTATTTTCTACTTCTGCTTCTGTAATTCTTTTATTAATGATAATTATCATTCATTAATTTATTTTTGGATGATTTGTTTAAAAATATTACTTCCCTCAAATCACTTTCCTGTCAGAGTCTTGATGATGATTAGAAAAGAGCTACATGACATGTGTCCACCATTAGGTCCCTGGGCTCATTTCTTCTACTCTCCCCTTTGCTTATGGCTCCAGCTATACTGGCCATCTTGATTTCCCCAAAACACAGGAAGTATGTTCCCATGTTATCTCTTCTGTACAAGCTGCTCCATCTGCCCAGAATGCTATTCTCCCCGATATTTCTAAACTCATTTTTTCAACTCCTTCAAGTCTTTGCTCATGACAACTTATCAATGGCTCTGTCAACCTAAATAACAACCAAAGAGAGATTCTTTCAAGAAAAAAAATGATATGTACTTGTGATTTCAGCACACTATAGTCTGAATGAGTGTGCCATAGAAAACGCTGTGTGTGAAAACTGAGGGTGAAACAAGTGAATGTTTTTAAAGTCAAAATCAAGAGGATAAGATCAGCTATTTTGAAGCTAAAATCCAATCTTTGGGTTTAAAGATTGATAATATGCCTGCTATCAATCTGATGTTGAAAAATAGAGATGTTGGGCACATTTCCTTAGAGAAGGTGTGTGTGTGTGTGTCTGTGTGTGTGTGTGTCTGTGTCTGTGTGTATGCACACATGCTGATATGTATGTGTAGTAACATTGTGGGAGCCTTGGCACAGGATTGAGGTGGTTATAGAGGTTTAATTTGTGATACCAATAGGCAATTGTACATGTGCATCTTTCAGAACTTCTCAGCTTCATGTATTTACTTTTTTGTTAGAATTGAATCAAGCCACTCCATTTTGGTCTACCAGCTTTTGCCAGCCTTACCTTGGCCACTCTGAAAAATCACAGGAAGACCTCCATCCTTTCTACCAATCACATCTGAACCTATGATCTGAAGCAATTCTCATAGGGTTTAAGCTGGTTTGAACTTCCTTTTTATCAATTGTGAATTGAAGTTATATGATACAGAGGCCTCCATTTTTGGTATTGCTAATGTTTCCTAGTCTACAACCATTTCTCTCTGCATTTTCCTTTATAACAGTATCATTGACACATCTTATATTGTACTCCATCAATAAAATAATTTGAACTTTTAGGTTATCCTGAGGATTGAACTATCCAAGTATTTTCAGATGAATCATAGCTATTATCCAATATAAAACACAGAACCTTACTAATGGTTTGAAAGATATAAGCAATAAACAAAAGAGAACGTCATTCCAGATCAAAACCTAAAATTTTTAATCAGAGCTTTCAAGAAGATGTTTTCTCATATATATGTACTATTTGGGTTCACACACACATGCACACACACACACCTACAGAATACACAGACAGACAGACACACACATATACATACACACAGAGTGAAGTTCACAGTTCTAATGGTTATGGAAACTTTTTCCTCAAAGGAGCCATTTCAGAATTGGGATTTCCCCAGTTTTTTATTCAGTTGCATGGTTATGTCACCATATCCGGTTCCCCAGCAAGCTCTGCTCCATAAATCTAAACATTGGAGATTGATTTACAATAAGCAATCTAGACAGACTACATATATCCTTCTAAAAAGGCATTTTTAGGTAGGTATTTCTTACTGTCTTTCAAATATTATTAGGATAATTTATAAGGAGGTCTGGCTAAGGTGGTCAGTGACTCTGCATAAGAAGTAAGTCATGGTTGGCTTGTTCCACACCACAATAAATCTTTATTTATCCATTAAAAATCATACCTATGTACCACAATAAAATATATAAAGACAGCCAAAATTTAGAAAGCATGAGATACAGATGTAACAGCTTAAAATACTACCTCATTTTCTGTATTAAGAGCTAAAAGTGTTTATGGTGTCTCAAAAACATTATTCATTAAATTTATAGCAGCAAAAAAATTCTAACTGAACATGGTGATATATATTGTCATCCTAGCATTTGGGAGACTAAGGCTGGAAGATTACAAGTTCAAGTCCAGCTTGAGGTATATAGTAAAATCTTGTAAAAAAAATTAAAAGAACTGAAGCTGTAGCTCAATTGTGGAGTATTCTTGTACAAGACCTTGATATCCATCTGAGCACTAAACACACACACACACACACACACACACACACACACACACACACTTCATTGAATAGGCCTTGCTGATTTGGAAACTTGGGTTGATGTTTTCTGATAAAAATATCTAAGACCTGATTCTAGAGACTGGATATTTTCTGGTATTAATAAATACAACTGAAAAGAATTAGATCTAAAAACAATTCACACCTAGAGATCTGAAGATCCAAGGGAAGAAGTTCTAGATTAACTGTGTAAGATGATCTTTACTTTCAAACTCTCAAGTATTAGTTTTTGTTGTTGTTGTTGTTAAAATTTGGTTAGTAAATTTCTACCTTCCTGTTGACAGTTTTTCTTGTAGGATAATAAAAATGTAGTGTGATTCTACTTTTTATACAAGTGGTTTCAAAATAAAGTAAAATTTCTCATATATAAGATTTTCAATTAGGTTAGAAAAATGTTTTCATGTTTACATATATGTCAGTTTTAAATAAAACCACACCATTCTAGTTACTGTAATTTGTGATCTGTAGCTGTCTTGGAAAAAAATGTCCCTGAGACTCTATTTCAACAAAAAAAACTATATGATATATGCCTATGATATATGCCTATAATCTTAGCTATGATGGAAAGTATTAATAAGAGTACTGAGGTCCAGTCTAACCAAGGCAAAAAGAGAGATCCTATTTCAAAAATAACCAAAGCAAAATAGCCTGTAGGCATGTTTCAAGTGATGGACAGTTTGGGTCCAAACCTTAGTACTAGGAGGAGGAGAAGGAGGGGGTGGAGAAGGGCAAAGTGAAGGAAGGGGAGGGGGAAGAGGTAGGGAAGAGTGAGGAGGTGGAAGATGAGGTGGGGGAGGTGGGGAGGGAGGAGAAGGAGGAAGGGAGAAGAGGAGGAAGAAGAGATTAAAAAGAAAAATGATATAAGTATTTCCACATATTCATTTCCAAAGTACATTAGCTTTTTCACAGGCTTCTTTTGAAAGGTTGTTGCTTCATAATCTGTTGGTTGAAATTTACTTTACCATAAAGGGTCAAATTAAGGAATCTATTTTCTCTAGAATACATATTCATTTGTAATCCAAGAATAGCCACTTAGCTATTTCTCTTCTGTCATTTAACAGCCAGAAGCTTTTTTTAAGTTATTGTTTTTCCCTTTTTTAATATATATTTTTATTGTAAAGATACTTCACAGAGGGGTTACAGTTACATGAGTAAGGTAATGAGTCCATTTCCTATCAAGCATTGTTACCCCCTGCTTTGTTTTTCCCCTATCATCCCTTCCCTCCCTACTTTTCCCTCCAAATTCTCCCTCACTTTTGTTTTTTTTTTTTGAGAGGTGTTTTACAATTATCTTTACATCTGTTTTCCATCAGTTACTAAAAATATAACTCTACCATGAGTTCATAGGGAATAGCTTCCAGCCTTTCTGGTGCCTCTCCAATTCATTTCCACCAAGTGTTTGTCTCTGGGTGGAGCAGGCTGCTGCTTCACCCTAGAATCACCTTCTTTCTTCTGCTCTTTCTCTTTCACATATTTCAGGAACCTATTTTGACTCTTCAGAGTGTTAGGATACTCCCATATATTGATATTGGCAACAATTTTTACCATTGTTGCTTGCATGTGCCAACAGCATGCTGGGTAATGTTGTAGATTATGTCAGCTTTGGCATGATTACATTTGTGAGGTGTTCATACTCCCTATCTAGTAGATTCCCCTCCATGTGGACAAGGGAGCAGGGCTGTGTATTTTGAAATACCTAGAGAACACATATCAGATCCCTCTCTTCTTTCCCTTTATATTCAACTGGTGAATTTCTGGAATATTGCAGTTCGGGTTTGAAGAAAGGAACATTTTTTAAAGTAGTAAGCAGGGAGTGGTGTGGAACACATATACTCTCAACCCTCCAGAGGCTGAGGTAGGAGGATCAAGAGTTCGAGGCCATTCTGAGCTACAAAGTGAGATCCTGTCTTTTAAGGGGGGGGAGGGGGAAAGGAAGGGAGGAAGAGACGTAGAAAAATATGGAGAGAAAAAAACCTGTATCTTGTATTCAAGTTCTACAGTCCTCAACCATTAGGTTTGATTATGAGATAATCAGTATAAAAGCTTTTCATAATTATTTCTCATGTACTGGAATAATATTCTATGAGTTAGAAAAATATAACCTGTGATTTGATTTTATTGAACACATAATGTGGTGCACATAAACATTGATATATGAAGACAGAAAAACAAAAACCAAGTAAATAAATGCCTAACAGTAGTAATCTCAGGCTGGACTAACAGCCTTCTCCCCCTTTGTCTCTGTGTGGAGTAGCACCCGTGACCTATGATGTAAACAAGAGTAAGTCACTAGTGCAATTGTATCATAACTATTAGCATAGGTTGATTATTTCTTTTTCTAATTTTATAATAAAACACTTAATAGATCCAGAATACCTTCTGAATCCTCAGCCTGCACATTCTTTGTAATTCTGCTGATTTGATGAATTCTGATAATTTGATGAATTATTTTCCAGTGTTAGTTCTGATCAATGCCACTCTTTTTATGTCATCCAATATTACAGTCTAGTCCATTTTCTAGTCATTTTTACAGGCCATATTT